GAATGAAATCCCACTCATGCTGAAAACCTTCATTCTATGAAAGTTGGTTTATCAAGCCCACATATTCCGAAAAGCTTCTTTCTCTGTAATAGAAAGCTGGTTCATGCAATGTTAAGAGTAAAGCTTGCCTATAAGAAAGATGTTACTAACACATGAAATGAAATAATATTTACAGTGCAGAAAGACATGTTTTAATTTGTTTGAAGTTTTATGCTCAGTAGGTTATGTTAGAGCTTAGTGCAGGAAGATTAGTTTAGTGATTTTATGAACAGCAACACTATGTTAGAGCAACTAAACAACTGAAGAGAATGAAATCCCACTCATGCTGAAAACCTTCATTCCATGAAAGAGAAAGTTGGTCTCTCAAGCCCACATATGCCGAAAAGCTTCTTTCTCTTTAAGAGAATATTGGTTCATGCAATATTAAGCGTAAAGCTTACCCACATGAAATAAATTTCGAACACATGAAATGGAATAATATTTGCAGTGCAGTAAGATTTTAATTTGTTTGAAATTTCATGCTAAATATGTTAGAGCGTCTAAGCTCAGGAAGCTTCGTTTAGTGCTTCTATGAACAGTAATATTGTGTTAGCGCAACAAATGAAAATGAAGAAACTGAAAGCTCACATATGGTGAAAAGCGTATTTCTTTGTAAGACAAAGCTGGTTCATACAATGTTGAGTAAAGCGTGCTCGTAGTGAGAATGTTGCTTCCATATGAAATTAAATCTTGTTTTGCAATGCAGAAAGACCATTCTTGTTGTTAGAGCTTATATGCTCAAGAAACATAGATTAGTGCTTCTATGAACTGTAGCACTATGTTAGTGCAACTAAACAATTGAAGAGAATGAAATCCCAGTCATGCTGAAAACCTTCATTCTATGAAAGTTGGTTTATCAAGCCCACATATTCCGAAAAGCTTCTTTCTCTGTAATAGAAAGCTGGTTCATGCAATGTTAAGAGTAAAGCTTGCCTATAAGAAAGATGTTACTAACACATGAAATGAAATAATATTTACAGTGCAGAAAGACATGTTTTAATTTGTTTGAAGTTTTATGCTCAGTAGGTTATGTTAGAGCTTAGTGCAGGAAGATTAGTTTAGTGATTTTATGAACAGCAACACTATGTTAGAGCAACTAAACAACTGAAGAGAATGAAATCCCACTCATGCTGAAAACCTTCATTCCATGAAAGAGAAAGTTGGTCTCTCAAGCCCACATATGCCGAAAAGCTTCTTTCTCTTTAAGAGAATATTGGTTCATGCAATATTAAGCGTAAAGCTTACCCACATGAAATAAATTTCGAACACATGAAATGGAATAATATTTGCAGTGCAGTAAGATTTTAATTTGTTTGAAATTTCATGCTAAATATGTTAGAGCGTCTAAGCTCAGGAAGCTTCGTTTAGTGCTTCTATGAACAGTAATATTGTGTTAGCGCAACTCATCTAATGAAGAGAATGATAGCTCACATATGCTAAAACGCTTCTTTCTCTAAAAGAGAAACCTGGTTCATGCAATGTTAAGAGTAAAGCTTGGCGAAATCATATTTGCAAAGCAGAAAGACAATAATGTGTTAGATTTATTCTCAACAAAATATTTTACCCCTTCTAGGCACAGGAAAATTAGTTTAGTGCTTCTGTGCACAGTAATAGTGTGTTAATGCAACTAAACTAAAGAAAGAAGAGAATGCAAGCTCACATATGCTAAAATGCTTCGTTTTGTCTAACCTGGCTCTTCCATATGAAATGAAATCTTCTTTGCAAGGCAAAAAGACAATTTCTCTTTAAGAGAAAGCTGGTTCATGCAATGTTAAGAGCAACGCTTACGCCTATGCATATGAACATCTAAAGCTTGACCAAATAATAGATGTTTCTACCATATGAAATTAAATGTTATGAGTAATGTAGAAAGACAATTCTTCATGTGTTAGAATTTCTATGCACAGGAAGCTTAATTTAGTGCTTCAATGAAAAGTAATACTATGTTGTGAACAAATGAAGAGAACACAAGACCACATTAACCTGCAAAGCTTCTTTCTCAGTGACTGATAATTGGTTTGTGCAATGTCTTAACGTTAAAGAAAGCTTGCCCGTATGAAAGACGCTTCTTTCAAATCAAATCAAATCATATTCGCAAAGCAGAAAGACAATACTTAATGTGTTAAAAGTTCTATTCTCAAAAGTTAGTTTACCCTTTCTATGCACAGGAAAATAGTTTAGTGCTTCTAAGCACAGTAATAGTGTTAATGCATTAATGCATTAATGCATTAACATTCATTACACAATATAATGTTCTTTTTAGAGCATCATATGACCGCTTTAAGTTTAGTTGCATTAACACAGTAATTCTGTTCAAAGGAGCACCTAAACTAATCTTCCTGTGCATAGAAGAGGTAAAATATCCTGCTGAGTATAAAACTTCTTACATATTAAGCATTGTCTTTCTGCATTGCAAACATTATTTTATTTTATTTAATAGAAACATCTTTCAAATGGGCAAGCTTTACTATTAAACTTGCACAAACCAGCTTTCTCTTACAGAGAAATATTTTCATCATATATTGGTTTACATTCTCTTAATTTGCTTAGTTGCCCTAACCTAGTTCTTAGAAGCACTAAACAAATTTTTCTGTGACATAATTTGTTGAGAATAAATATTCTAAAACATGAAGTATTGTCTTTCTGCATTCTAAATAAAATTTCATTTCATTGTGTTAGAAACAGCTTTCATGTGGGCAAGCTTTACTATTGACATTGCGGACATCAGATTTTTCTTACAGAAAAAGGAGCTTTTCAGCATATGTGGGATTGCAATCTCTTGCATTCCACATGCTTAGTTGCGCTAATACAATCTTACTGTTAATAAACGCACTAAACTAAGCTTCTTGTGCATAAACGCTCGAAAGTAACTTGAGCATAAAACTTCAAACCCATTCAAATCTGTCTTTCTGCACTGCAAATATTATCTCATTTCATGTGTTACAAACATCTTTCATGTGGGTAAGCTTTACTCTTAACATTGCATAAACCAGCTTTCTCTTACATAGAACGAATCGTTTCTGCATATGTCATTTTGCTTTCTCTTCTTTTCTTTAGTTTAGTTGCATTGAAGGAGTAATACTGTTCAAAGAAGCACTAAACTAATCTTCCTGTGCACAGAATAGGTAAAATATCCTGTTGAGCATAACATTTCTAACACATTAAGTATTGTCTTTCTGCATTGCAAATATGATATTATTTAATTTAATATATATCATATGGGCAAGCTTTACTCTTAAAATTGCATAAATCAGCTTTCTCTTAGAGAGAAAGAAGCTTTTCAGTATATTTGGGCTTCATTTGCTTAGTTGCACTAAAATAGAGTTCACAGAAGTACTAAACTAAGCTCTCTGCGCTTAGAAGCTCTAACATAACTTAATGAGCATAAAACTTCAAACACATTCAAATCTGACTTTCTGCACTGCAAATATTATTTAATTTCTTGTGTTAGAAACATCTTTCATGTGGGTAAGCTTTACTCTTAACATTGCATAAACCAGCTTTCTCTTAGACAAAACGAAGCGTTTCTTGCATATGTCGGCTTGCATTCTCTTCTTTTCTTTAGTTTAGTTGGACTGACTTAGTTTTATTGTTCGTAGAGGGACTAAACTAAGCTTCCTGCGCTTAGAAGCTCTAATATAACTTAATGAGCATAAAACTTCAAACACATTAAAATCTGTCTTTCTGACTTGCAAATATGATTTCATTTAATTTAATATAAAAACCTTTCATATGGGCAAGCTTTACTATAAAAATTGCACAAACCAGCTTTCTCTTACAGAGAAAGAAGATTTTCAGCATATTTGTTGGCTTGCATTTTGAAGAGTGATGAACTCCAAGGATGTTCTGAATCGATAGTGATTGGCAGTTTCTTCCCAGTGGAAAGTGAAAAAGAGCTAAGAGAGACATCAGCTAAGATCCTAGGATCTTTGGTGAATGGAAAGTCAAGGCCGAGGAACTTAGGGGTTGCAGAAGCATTCTAGTTCCCATCCTCATCTTCTCAGAGTCTAACAGAACCGCAGGCTGACTGAAACGGGTCACTGATGTGAGAGCTTTATCTCCTATTGAGATCACACCTCCGGGGAGTCAAAGAGCCAATGGTGACTTGCACTTTCGGAGCGAAAGTTTACGACTCTTTGTCTCTGAACATGGTCATTTGCATATGTAATTCGACTGAGTGTTGCTGCAAAAACTACTAAAGATTCTTAGAACACTAATATGTACCAACATATAATATACACTCTCGTTTAGATCATCAGAAGACAAATTCATAGATACTAAACACAGTATAGATTACATGAACGAGTCGTTCTATCATAAGCATGCATAAAACAGTATAAAATACAAAAGACCATATACAAGAAGATAGTAATCGTACACAATGACCTGAGGATATGCATGATAGAAAGGTCATAGGAAAAGTTGTCTATGAATTAATAAGAAAAACATCAAACATACACGGAATAGAAACAATGTAATGACTGTTTTTCCAGAAAAGAGTAAAAACGGGTCGAGACAACTATTTAAGTGTTGTTAAAACAATTTAAAAGCTAGTTAGAGTTTGACAAAGTTAAATAAAAAGAAAAATGTTGACCATCTATCTTAACAAAAAAAGTATCAGATACGTTCGTTAAAAAATACGACGGTTTTTCTATGTTACAATTTAAAAACTATTTAGAGTTTGTTACCATTTAGAAAAGAAAAGAAAAAATGTTTACTTATCTTACCGTGTTCTAAAACAAAAAATATCAGACCGTTAAGCGCCAGTAGTCAAAATTGGAAAAACTAGCGTTTTGTCACAACGGTAGAAAAGTTAAACAAAAGAAAAAGAACCGTGTGATCTAAAAGAAAATTCATCAGGCAAGGTCGTTAAAACACCAGCATAAGATACTTGTCAAAATCTATGTTGTACTCTACCATTAGTTACAATTTTAAAAAGCTGATACATCCTCACACGCTGCTGTAAATACTCAGAATGTTTACGTCCGGTCCCACTCAAACCACACCCACTAACCGCCCCTAACACATCCCCTAACACCGGAGACCGCAAAGATAGCTTTAAATGTATGTTAAAATAATTAAACAAAGTAATGTTTTTAATAAATCGCCATCATTTCTTAATTGATGAAAACATTCTACCTGTTTTTAACATTAGACAAGCATTTTTTACTTAAAAAATTAGGATAGCCTATACAAGTGTTCCTTCTAAACAAATGCCGCCTAAGCCACAGGAAAAATGTTGTTTGTTTTTTTTTAATTTAATTTTATTTTAGTTATTCACACTTAATTTAGTAATTCCTTTATTTACTCTTTGGTTTTTGTCAAGCTTAAGACTTCTGGCTTGCTATATAACCCAGACTTTTATTTTTCTTTCTTTTTTTCACTTTTAAAATTAGGTTACACAAGTTTTCTTCTAAACAATCACCTCTAAGCCACAGGAAAAATTTTTGTTTGTTTTGTTTTATTTAGTTATTCACACATAATTTAGTAACCTAATTCCTTTAATCGGTCTTTTATTTTTGTCAATCTTAACTTCTAGCATGCTATATCAGTTAAAACACACACACGCATATGCGTACGCAAATATCTAACTGGAATGAAAGCTAATGTTTTGGGGAGTCTCTTTGATTTCTTGCCGTAAGACTTGTGGCGTGTTAGCTATCAGTTGAAACAGACATACGTAATTAAACGTCTAAACTTTTACAACATTACACGAAATGCAAAATATCGCAGCTCACGCACCACAATGAAACGAGAGAAGGTTTGAAGATGGTGCGCAGAATTTGTGACGCTGTGCTATATGCTAACCTATCAGTTAAAACACATGACAACATCTAAGCCTGTTTCTACGGTCGCAACTCATTTGCAGTCTAATGAGTTTCGAGGGATCTGGCATTGTAAACTTTGGTGTTGTGTCAGGTAAAAAGTTCACTGATCAAAACAGATCATGTTCAGCGATCAAAGGATCTCCATTGCATCTATTTTATGGCATGCACCTGCGAGTGTGAACTTTCTAAGGATGTTTTCGGGCTTGTTTTATAAACGTAATCTGCTGAGATTGCGAGGGTCTGGCATTTTTAACTTTGTTAGAATGTTAGGTAAAAAGTTTGGCGATGAAAGAATATCCATTGCATCTATTTTATGGCATGCACCTGCGAGTGTGAACTTTGATTTACATACGGGCATCTGGTGGATTGATAGGTAAAGTTAGGTAAAGAAGAAAATATTTTTTTCTAAGAAAAACAGGAATGTTAATAATATGGATCTGGTGAATGTGGCTTCAAACTGATGTTCAGGATGAGTTTAGATAGATAAAGAAGTCGTCGATAACAACAAACTTAAATAGATTGGTGCAAAAATGTTTGTTTTAACAAACGGTCTATGATGTAGGGAAATTGTGTTCCATTTTAAATTTGTTATCTTTATTCACTCAGATTTTTGAACACAAACACAATCATACACGCAAAAACAAACATACACAGAAGCACAGACATAGATGCAACCACAAACATGCATACACGCAAACACTCACACAAACACAAACATACAGCAAACAAAAGGTCTATGATGTAGGGAAATTGTGTTCCATTTTACTTCATTTTAGTTAAATTTGTTATCTTTATTCACTCCTATTTTTGAACACAAACATACACGCAAAAACAAACACTCACACATACACGCAAACAGAAACATACAAAGAAGCACAGACATACATGCAACCACAGACATGCATACACGCAAACAATCACACAAACACAAACATACAGCAAAAACACAAACACAGACATATAGACAAATATACATTCGAACGCAAACATACACGCAAACATGTGCACAAACACACATAAAAACAAACATACACGCAGACACACATACACACGCACACTAAAACAACACCTGCAGTTAAACATTTAGACTTTTATGATGTCTCATACAAACGTTTTACATATAAAAACTTTTAAAATCAAACTGGGTATCTCTACAAGATGATGAAATGCTGTATGATTAAACAATGATATAACTTTTGTTTTAACAAATAAGTTAAGTTTTGTAGATTTTAGATCTTTCAAACCTAAAACCATGATGAGGATTAGAAGCCGTCAAATGATCCTCTGATGAATGCAAGGCAGAGATTTTTCTTTATGAATTAGACCTAAATTAGACTGAAAATTAGTTGTCATAAGATTGTTTGAAACAAAAGTAATTCTTAAACAAGGTGCTACGAATGTCTCACAGAATCTTAACAACAGATTAGACTTTCTTTCTTACTTTAAAAATGTATTATTAACCATGGTGTTTAAATGCAGCATATTTATTTTTCACAGTATAATGTTTTATTTTATTAAAATAAAAACAACTGTCTATATAGGTTATTTTACTAAGATTTGATCAAATAATTGATAGAAGAAATAATTAAAATAATCGGTAAGTCCAACTTTTCAACCCCACCTGATGTGTCTGATGGTTTGTGATGACATAAATATCTTACTGATACAGATGTGTAAAGTTCAATATTACTGTTAAAAATAGTTTGAAAAAAGTCATCTTTTTTAGCTTTCATATAGGATTCACGGCCATACTCAGTTGGTTCTTGTGTAACAGAGTCCTGAGACAGGTAAAAATAGAATGCGTGAAAGACCTTTCTCTTTAAGATATTATAATGACAGACTAAAAACTTTAGATTGGTTAATAAAAAAAACAAAGTGTTGTGTTTCTAAGTTTGTAGTAAAATCACATCTATAAGCTAAAACATTTTTCTTTCATACTCTCTCACGCACACCCCATGTAGCTTTCACAGACCCCACCACAAACTGACAAAATCATCCTTAAGTTTGTTTTAACATTTAGCTGTAGTTAAGACCCTGATGGAATTATTTTACGCACAGTGTTGGGGAGGTTACTATGGAAATGTGATAGGTTATTACAAGTTACCCTATTTAAAATCTATTAAGATTTAATAGATTTAGTAGTGTAACTATTTCAATTACTTAAAAAAAGTAATGTGACTCATTACATTTGATTACATTTTTTATTAATTACTGTGTGAACGCGTATTGGTGATTATTGTATCTTGTTCATATAAGTCAATATTTCTGTGAATTTGGTTGATTTAATAAAATATTACTTTAAACCTCGTCTTCATTCGAGACATTTACTTTACATTATTATATTATCCTAGTTTATATCAGATATAATATACAAGATTGTTTCTTATTAATAATTATTACTAAATTGATAATAACAAACAAAAAAGTTTATTAACTCAGAGAACAGAATAATGAGTTAAGTGGGTCAACCTTTTATTTCAACAATATATTGTTGAATATATATTCATACATCAAAGTAGTGAAGAAAATGATCAAATTGCCATTACAAACAAACAGTACTAATGACATTACAGGTGATCTAGCCAGAAAAGAAAACAAAGAGAAAGAAAACAAAGGATTGGTGCATGAAACTGTGACCACAAACATCATTAACTTATATGAACAAAATACAATAATCACCAATACGCGTTCACACAGTTAACTTTATTTAAATGTTTCACTGATATAAAATGACCCTGAGTTCTTTGAAAAGAAATGTATACTGACATAACTGCGAGATGACTTAAGGAGCCGATGTAATCAGTTCTTTGAACCGGTTCATTGAACTGAACTGTCCAAATTAATCGTTTTGCAGGAGTGAATCGGATTTGCATCACTAACACAGATCAAAAAAAAAAAGGGTTTGTAACATCACGACATGGAAGGAGCGTATACTTCACAAAAAGTGTGGAAATGTGAGTCTTTTTATATAGGGTATCTGAGCATGCGTTTAATCGGAAGTCCGACGATTTAGAGCGCTGCCATGTATGAGTATTTTGGGATATGGATCCCCGGCGGCCTTGTTTGAAGTCTGAGGTGTATGCTGGGTATTCTAGTTCCCTGGCCTGAAAGTCTACAGCGCTCAAATGAGGTATTAGTTAAACGTGTTCAATTGAACACCTTTGTAAAAACAAAAACAAAAAGAATTGTTAAAACATATTTAGACTAAACGCTTATATTCAAGAATAAAACTATACACGTATGCTAAAACAGGCTTGACGTGTAGGCTATGTTGTAATGGAGCAACCGTTGTTATGTTATCTTGTGAAGCGCTAGGCGTTAGGATTCGTGTGTTCCTGAAAGCAAATAATTGGCTTTATCTTTAGAAAAGTCAATCAGGTCCTGCTGCTGGTGTCTGAATATCCAGTCGGTCTTCATCACGAAATTATGAACCCGTCATCACCGCATTCTGGAGAATGTGCGTTGTGTTAGACAGGGTGTTTCGTGACCCAAAGGGTATATGTTTGTTGAGTTCTCTGTCTCTGCATGTTGAGCGTAACCGGTATTTTTACAGACTGTTAGCTCACGCCTATATTTCACCATAAACTATGTAAGCAGGGCCTTGTAATAATATGTTAAACATGTGATAAGTCGGTCGATCGTGCATCCAGAGTTTTATCTTACTGCGTCGTTATAATACATTTTCTGCAATGGCTGTACTTGTTACGATGCTTCAAATCGGGGGTCTGGCTTGTTTTATGAGCATACCCTTGTATGCCAAACTAGTGTTGTGATATTGTTCACATTTTTAACGTTAAAGAGGTTAATGAACTCTTTCACCATCTAGTAATAATGCATAAACAGTGTTAGGGAGCAACTAGTTACATATAGCTAAATTACGTAATTTAATTACAAAATAAATGTAATTGTAATCAGTTACATTTACTGAGAAAAAATGTGTAATCAAATTACAGTTACTTATGAAAATGTTAACGATTACAGAGGGGGTTACATCTGAATATTTTTTCACACACACATACAGATTTAATTGATATTTTTCATAAATTGCATAGTCTGCTCTAAAATATGAGACACCGATGTTTCAGGAGTTTAGGACACATGCTTATTCGATAACTGTTTTATTTCCTATTTGGGTGATGCATATTTATTTTTAAGTTTAACTGCATGTTTCAAAAGATTAACAGTTGAAAACATTACATATTTAGAAAAGTAATAAAAAATGTAATCAAATGTAATGTCACATTACTTTTTTTAAGTAATTTGTGCGTGAGATAGTTTGAAAGAAAAATGTTT